TCACTGTCACCTTACTGTATCTCTCAGAGGGAGGCTGGCCCTCACTGCCTCCTTACTGTATCTCTCAGAGGGAGGCTGGCCCTCACTGTCACCTTACTGTATCTCTCAGAGGGAGGCTGGCCCTCACTGTCACCTTACTGTATCTCTCAGAGGGAGGCTGGCCCTCACTGCCTCCTTATCTCTCCATGGGAGACTGGCCCTCACTGCCTCCATACTGTATCTCTCAGACGGAAGATGGCCCTAACTGCCTCCTTACTGTGCCTCTCAAAGGGAGGCTGGCCCTCACTGCCTCCTTACTGTATCTCTCAGAAGGAGACTGGCCCTCACTACCTCCTGAATGTATCTCTCAGAGGGAGGCTGGCCCTCACTGTCACCTTACTTTGTCTCTCGGAGAGGGAGACTTGCCCTCACTGCCTCATTGTATCTGTCCGGGGGAGGCTGGCCCTCACTACCTCCTTATTGTACCTCTCAGAAGGAGGCTGGCCCTCATTGCCTTTTTATCTCTCAGAGGGAGTCTTGTCCTCAATGTCTTTTTATCTCTCATTGGCTGGCCCTCACTACCTCCTTACTGTGTCTCTCAGAGGGAGGTTGGCCCTCACTGCCTCCTTCCTCCTTCCAGCACCCCTGCTAAGGACTCCAAGAAGGTTGGATACTCTGAACTGCTGTTCGGTGCATAGGCACAGACAACAGTCAGAGCCTCTCATCTACCGGGGAAAACTCCAACACACAGGCACCAAGTCAGGTGGCTACAAGTAGACCTACACCAGATTGAAGCCTCTCACCATGGGCAACTCCAGAGAGGAATAAAGTCCAGTCCTTCTCAAGGAGATCAGTTCCAGAGCCCATGCTGTGCGTTGAGGTGAGCCCAACTATATCTAGTCGGTACCTCTCAACCTAACGTACAAGCTCAGGCTCCTTCCCCACCAGAGAGGTCACGTTCCATGTCATAAGAGCCAGCTTTGGTAAGCCAGGGTCAGAGCGCCAAGGTCCCCGTCTTAGGCCACCGCCCTTGGCATCACGCACCCGACTTTTGTGGCCCTTCCTGCAGGGGGTGGGTCCACAGGAAGGCAAACCCATGCTGCTCATTCGGGCTGAGCCGGATCGGGCCCCATGGGTAGAGACCTGGTCACCAGGCGCTTGCCGACAAGTCCCTCCCCCAGGCCTGGCTCCAGGGTGTGGCCCCGGTAACCCACGTCC